GCCTGGGACTAAGGCAGCTGGTGCCACGTTCAGATCCGTAACACGAGAACACCGGGTGTCGTTAGATTACCTGGTGGGGGGGGGGGGGGGGGGGGGGGGTACGTTGTGGTGGGATGGGGGGGGGGGGGGTATGTTGGTACTGGCAACACACAGAACGTATGCTTGCAATGCTGATGGAAGTTTTAATATATTTACCAAACATTAATCTAGTTATCAAACATACATATATTTATCAAATATTCATATATTTATCAAACGTAAATGTATTTATCAAGCATATATATATATATATATATATATATATATATATATATATATATATATATACTAGCCGTCCTGGCAGGCCCTGCTCTGGCCTCTGTGAAAAAGCTATCTATTAAAGACCATTACCTGTGTGTTTAGTAATCATTATATACCGGGCATTGCCCATCCTAACCACAACCAACCAAAAAAAAACCGCAAACATAACGCAGTCACGATGACAAATACAAACGTAAACAAAAACCTAACAACAAACCCAAACCACAACAAACAAAAAACAAACAAAAAAAGCAAACGAAAACAAACCAATTCGGAACGTAAACCCAACCACAACACAACACAAAGACAACACAAAGACAACACAAAGACAACACAACACAATACAACACAAACACAACACAAACACAACACCAACACAACACCAACACAACACCAACACAACACAAACACAACACAAACACAACACAAACACAAAACAAACACAACACAAACACAACACAAACACAACACAACTTTAACACAACACAACACAAACCGGGACGGCTATTATTATATAAAAGTGTATATCTTCTTGAAGTTCGGTGCAGGTGTCTATAAAACAGCTTTCTGGTGTGACCGACCAAAACGAATTCCCTTTAGTGCGCAAAAAAGACAGACACAAACGAATGCGCAAAAAAAAAAAAACACAAATGATAACCTGCGGGAATTCCCGTTCCCGAATAAAGATGTCTTTTTTTTTGTTTACGTCAATTGTCTTTAATTAAAAAAATATTTAGTAAACAGTACGTTCAGTGTATGAAATAAATAAAAGGCAGAATTAAAAATACCTACCAAATGCACTTGATTAATCCGTGCTAATTATGTAATACTTTTTTTTCCCAACACCAAAACAAAGTAATAAAAAGTAACTTCTTTTCCACTAATCATTAGTGACTAATGCAATGTTTTATAAAGGGAAGTAATTGTGTTTTCCTAATTTATCAAAGGGAAGTAAGTGCTTAAGGACTAAATATAAATAATTTTCAGACATAACAAGAATTTTTGTAAAAGATGATATTTTTTTTAAATTTTGTTTAATGAACATGCCGACAATTATTACTATCAGTTTGAAAAATGAAAATTATTTTCCAACACTTTCAGTATTAATTTTTTAAACCATGCATTTAGACCATGAGTGCTTTAATTATCTAACTTTTGAATCCATGAAAGTATCGTATTTTCTTATATTCCTTTGTAATCCACGACAAACATAATTACATACATACAGAATTTTAACTGTATATATTAGATACATATATATATATATATATATATATATATATATATATATATATATATATATATATATATATATATATATATATATATAATAAATTCATAAAAAATGTTTTAATAACAAGCTTTAAAGCAATAATGCACTGAAAAGTAGAAAATAAATGTTTTTCTTTAAATGTATAATAATACACTACTATAAATAACTATAAAGAAAAGCGTGGATAACTTTATTATCTGTTGGATACCTTTAATTATATTTAGGAAGAGACCCACGCTTTTCTTAATAGTTATTTAAATAGTAGTGTAAAAAAAAAAATGTTCTAATTTTAGTGCATTAGGGGTCATCCATAAATGACGTCACGCTTTTTTGACGATTTTTACCTCCCTCCCCTCCGTCACACGTCGTCACAAAAAGCAAAACCCCCCTAAAATGACGTCACACCTAAGCCTACAACCCCCCCCCCCCCTCAAAATTGCTGTTGAATTTTTTTTAAAACATCGAAATTTTTCCAAAATCTTGTCAGAACTCTGTCAACATAGAGTATTTTGATCAATTCCTATTACAATTTATTAAAACCGTTTTCTAAAACGCGAAAAAACGTCTAAAACTCATTTTCTTAAATTGCTTTTTTATTATGCAAATTAGTGACGTCACACCATCTGATCCCCCCTTCCCCTCACCCTCATCACACCCCCCTCCCCCTATAAGTGTGACGTCATGTATGGACGACCCCTTATTACATTAAAGCTTCTATTAAAACGGTTCTAAAATAATAGTAGAGCCGTGTCAACAAGAAATATATTGAACGAGCAGACCCGCGGCGTATCATACGCCGCTATTTAGTTGTTTTATTTTCTACTTTTCAGTAATTCATAATTTGTGAATTCGACAGTACCAATGCTTCCACTGTAAATATTTGCTTTAAAACACTAACCCCCCCCCCCCCCCCCCCCGTGAAAGCAGCCTCCTCTTAGTTACCTCCTGTAAGTTTAAAATCGTTTCAAACTAAATTATCTGCCCCTAATAGCCGTCAACAAACCCGGCTCTACGATTTGTAAACATTTAGAGTGAACCACAGCTCACCAGATCATGTGGGGGTGTGGTGGGGGTGGTAGTGATAGTGATAGAGAGGAAGAGAGGGGACTGCAAAGGCGCGCTTGCAGCTTGTTTTCTGACGGCTCCCAGAAGAGAATTATATATATAGATAATCTTCACTAAAATGTACAAATTAAGACCTTAATTTTAATCTACTCTCAACATTTGAGCTTAAAGTGTCTAATCCTAAAATGTAACCCTAACCTATTCCCAACACTTGAGTTCACACTTTATCACGCAAGAATGGAAAACAGACCAGAGTCGGAACTAGAAAAAAGGGCCACGCCGCAAAAAAAAAATTCCCATATATATGGGAACAGGGTATTACTCCCCCCCCCCGGATATTTCTCCACGACTTTACCCCCCCCCCCCCCCCGGAGTAATTACTCCCCTGTTAATTACCCCCCCCCCCGCCCAGTTGGACATTAGAGTTAGGGTCAGGGTCAGGGTCAGGGTCAGGGTCAGGGTTAGGGTTAGGGTTAGGGTTAGGGTTAGGGTTAGGGTTAGGGTTAGGGTTAGGGTTAGGGTTAGGGTTAGGGTTAGGGTTAGGGTTAGGGTTAGGGTTAGGGTTAGGGTTAGGGTTAGGGTTAGGGTTAGGGTTAGGGTTAGGGTTAGGGTTAGGGTTAGGGTTAGGGTTAGGGTTAGGGTTAGGGTTAGGGTTAGGGTTAGGGTTAGGGCAATAGCTATGGCTAGGGTTAGGGTTAGGCCTAAATCAATGCCTAGCGTTGGTTTTTGGTTTTGTGTTATGTTTTACGCTGAGGTGGATGCTTAGGTTTTGGTCTTTTACTTAAAGTTAGTATTAAGGTAATATTTAGGTATAGAATATGAGTTAGAGTTAGGATTCTAACTTGAGAGGGGGGGGGGGTAATTGCTCTGTGTGGGAAATACGGGGGGTAATGTCCGGGGGTTCATTTCGTTGGGGGGGTTATGTCCTGTACATATATATATATATATATATATATATATATATATATATATATATATATATATATATATATATATGGAACAGTTTTCTCGACTCGCCGGTCCCCATAACCCGAGACCTGTACACGAATCCGACTATCACCAAACAATAGAATAGGAAACGGACTCAATTGGCTCAGAAATTCACAATTAACATTGGGAAGTGTCGGTTACAGCATGCACACATCAAAAGTAGCGTGGACAGGCCGGCATTGGATTTGAATCCCCAAAGAAAGTGAAAAGTGTGTCAGATGAAACATGGACAAGATCAGTTAAGAGAGAGAGAGAGAGAGAGATGATGATGATGATGATTTTAAAAGATAAATGTAATGAAAAGTTGTCGCTGTGTAGCTGCTTATATGCAGTGGTGTAGCGAGGTCGGGTGTCACCCGGTGCGGCACTTAATGGTGTCACCCCCCCCCCCCCCCCCCAGAGGCGTAGCGACCTTTCCCGGGGACAAACTTTCAAATTTTCGATTTGCACCCCCTCCCCCTCAAACTTTCGATTTGCACCCCCCCCCCCCTCAAACTTTCGATTTGCACCCCCCTCAAACTTTCGATTTGCACCCCCCCCCCCCTCAACTTTTTCTCCATACATTTTGCTATTTTTTGCCTTGGTGTCACCCCCCTAAATGGTGTCACCCGGTGCGGTCCGCACCCCCCGCCCCCCCCCCCTCGCTACGCCCCTGCTTATATGTGAGAGTTTAAAAATTTTATATCGTACAAACAACAACCACTCACACTTTTGTTATATCGTACAAACAATCACTCACACTTTTGTTATATCATACAAATATCAACATTCACTTTTCTTATATTTTACATACAACCACTCACATTTTTGTTATATCGTACAAACAACTCACACTTTTGTTATATCATACAAACAACAACCACTCATACTTTTGTTATATCATACAAACAACAAGCACTCACACTTTTGTTATATCATACAAACTACAACCACTCATACTTTTGTTATATCATACAAACTACAAGCACTCACGCTTTTGTTATATCACACAAACAACAACCACTCATACTTTTGTTATATCACACAAACAACAAGCACTCACACTTTTGTTATATCATACAAACTACAAGCACTCACACTTTTGTTATATCGTACAAACAACTCACACTTTTGTTATATCATACAAACAACAACCACTCATACTTTTGTTATATCACACAAACTACAAGCACTCACACTTTTGTTATATCACACAAACAACAAGCACTTTAAGTGACTTTATATCCTCTAACTTTCTATTGCCGTACAATGTGGACTCTCGCACACTACAGGAACTGTAGCCTTGACCTTGATTCATTTTTCTTCTCTATAACTAGAATATTTTTTCCTTTAAAAAAATTTCTGTTCATGATACAAACACATCAATACTTACAATTTCTGTTCATATTGACTTCCAGACATTTCTTGAATCGGCAAGCTTGACATTGATTCCTGCGAACAGGATCGACCACACAATTTCCGTTTTCCTTGCAAACATATTCCAAGTTCCGGCGAATGCTCCGTTTAAAAAAGCCACGGCAGCCGTCACAACTTTTGACTCCATAATGGCGCCCTGACGCCCTGTCTCCACACACTAAACAAACTTCTACAAGTTTGTCGTCGTTGGCTGAAAAATTGAAATATGTATATATGACATGACAACACCATAATCCTGACCGTTATCCTAACCATAATCCTTACAATAATTCTAACAATAACCCTAACCATAATCTTTACAATAATCTTAACCATAATTCGAACCTAATTCGCTATGTCAACACCCGATGACAATACAATGTGACATAAGATGTGCCTTCATTAGATGGTTAACTAATGTTTTTTTTTACTGTATACAAAAGTTTTAATAACAAACTTGTTTGTAATAATACACTAAAAAGAACCTAAATGATTTTCTTTAAATATATAATAATACACTACTATATACACTACTAACCGTGGTTCACTATATATTTCTATTGTGTACCTGTACTAATATTTGGGAAGAGACTCACGCTTTTCTTCATAATTATTTAAATAGTAGATTATTATTATATATTTTTAAAATAATCATTTATTTTCTCCTTTTTAGTGCATTATCACATACAATCTTGTTACTAAAAAACATTTTTATGCATTTTTTTCAATAGGCCTACTTTAAATGTGTTAATACAATAGAGTTTCATGACTAAAAACTATAGCGCACCAAATCAACATAACAATGCGCATATAATAGAGTGAGACAGTAGTAGGCCACCCTACGAATTTCAGAAAAAAATTAATTAGGCATCCAACTAAGACAAATTTGAGGTCAGATTACATAGTCTACAGGTCTTGACCCACGAGTTAAGTTTGAAACAAATCGGTCAGTAAAAAGTACTTGAAATTTCGCTCGCCCGTTTCAATATTTGACGACAAAAGCACGACAGAAAGACAGACAGATGAAGCAAGTTAAATAAAAGCTTGTAAAAATAACTTTTATTATATAAAGTACTTTTTTTTAACCTCTCGGTTCGTACATTTGCTGCGCAATTATTTTTAGGTATGAGGTTCGATTTTTATTAAGATAGACAGTATTAAAAAAAAACAATATTTATCTTTTAGAAAACAAAAGTGTATAACAATCTTCTATATAGCCTACTACTAAAAGTCAGAAATGTGTATATTTGTTTATTTTGTCTGTCTGCTCCGATTGATCACAGCCTCTGCACTATGTGCAGAACTGTGTGTAGAACTGTAAAATACGTATTTATGTAGAGAATAATGTTTGTTTCCCAAAATGTTATACACTAATTTATTAGAAGACGATAATTAATGTATTGATGTATTCATTTGTAGAAACATCCCTTTAAAACAAATACTTTATTTACTTATTTTCACAACAAACATGACTTCCGTGGAAGACCATTGGCCCATTCAAAAGTTGAACGCGTTATAAAGCTACATTTTCTGTCTGCTATAGCTTTAACGATGCCTCTGTTTATTATTTTTATTAGGTTCCAACACTGTTATCAGTTTACAATAGGATACGCTTGACAGTTCTTTTAATTTTTGTATACAATAAATTTATCTAGAAATACCGATAAACTATATTTAAGCTATCGGATGAAAGAAGGCCAAACCAAAATTAATTAGGTAAAAAGAAAAACAAGCTTAAAAACACAATAAATAATTGAATTTCGTTATTAAACTCTTTTAGTCCTTAAATATTTTATATATATCTTCGTTTCTTAGCAATGGAATTGGTTTTAATAAGGACATAATTTAATTATAAGTAAATTTTGCTTGATTTTACTTTCTTGCGGAGTTAAAGTAAAATAACTCTATATATTTTCTCTAAACATCTGGCAGCCAGACAGAGTCGACAGCATGGTAGATCTTTTTTTAGCGCAATTTCCATACTGGACAATTGCGATTATTAACTCGTCATTTCTGGTGATGGAGGGATGGATGGATGTGTGTCCGCAGCTTTAAGTCGTATCTCCTCCTCAACGAAGCAATATCGAGGACCAGTTCTAAAACAAATATGTTAAGCAAGTTCCGAGGATGATAGTGGGCTAAACAATTCCCGGAATTCCTTCCTGGATTTCACAGAAAAGCCAAAAAAAACCTCGAAAAAATGCAGTTTTTTGCCCATATCTCGACAACCAGACCACTTAGCGACTTGAAACATTTACCAATCGATTCCTGCCATAATTTAGAACAATATTGAAATTTTCAAAAATATCCTTTCGTTCGGTCACAAAAAATTAATTAAGAACATTTAAACTGAGCATCGTGTAGGCCTACTCGTTAAAATAAAACTATTTCCGTTGATATAGGTTAATATAGTTGTCTTTTTTTTAGCGCAAAAAAATATCCTTTCGTTCGGTCACAAAAAATTAAAAATTGTTAAGGAAATTGCGCTTAAATTGTCACTAGACTTTTTATTAACTTGTTTTTTTAAGTTGCGGGTCCGAAACCCATGCTGTCAAAAAAATTGACCGTCTTTACCATAATATTTCAGTGTTTTTAAAAGACAATAGCGTGTTGACTGAGGTGTGACGTCATTTAGATTTTTTTTATCTTTGTTTGACCGTGTGTGACAGTGGGGAGGGAGAGGAGAAGATAAAAATCGTCAAACAAGCGTGACGTAATTTATGAATGACCCCGAAACCCAGTTATCCAAGTAAAACGGGTAGTCTAGTAAGCGCTAAAAACAAATAGAATTTTGTTTTAAATGCAGTGTTTCTTCCAGACTTTTTTCTCCGGGGGGGCACTTGAAATCTTCGGGGGGGGGGGGGGGGGCGGTAAACTTTCTTCGGGGGGCGGACACTGTTAAAAGTATATATTTTCTATATAAATTATATAAATTTCATTTCGTTCAGGGGGGGGGGCGGTAAAAAATTTTCGGGGGGGCTAAGCCCCCCCGAAGAGATGCCTGGAAGAAACTCTGTTTAAATGTAATATAAATAAAGAAATTATAGCTATTTAAATAGCTGGATTTGCCTTGTATGCATTACTGCGCCTCTCATACGTACGCCATGAAAGTTTTGGGGGGGGCTGATTAGATAATGTCCAAGATGTTTTCTGCGGAAAAATATTTTAATTTTGGAGGGACGCACTCTAAACCTAACCCTATGTGGTTTGACCATCCGGATGTCATTAAAACTTCGGGCAGTTGATAAGAATACTCCAGGGAAGGTTTATGCGAAAAATAAAATTATAATTTCTTAGAGGCGTCGACAAAGTTCCCGGGTTGGCACCCAATCTTAGCACTTTGTATCGCTGGTTAGGCGTCCTGCCTAGGGTATCAGTGGTACTGTTTGATTTAGCGGTAAAACTGCACCAGACAAAACCGCCGTCGTCATGACGATTGAGTGACTCAGAGCGCCCCGCCCCCTCCTAAACACTTTGTGTCCTACGTTGGTTTTGAAAAAAGGCCATACACAAAGCACACGATGGGCTACTATAATCGTTGACTAAATCGAATAAGACCTGAGTTCGTTTTATACAGTGTGGTACTTGTGGATATTATGGGTTATCATAATCGTTGACTAAATCAAATGAGGCGAGTTTGCCGGCGCCTAGGCACCAAGTCAATGGCGTTTATAACATGTCTAATATTAAGTTTTCATTAGCTTCATTTCTTTTTCCGTGATCCAATCAGAAAGTGAGATTATGCGTGTAAAAATACATCATTAGTAAAGCGAACAGGTTGCGTAAGACATTTTGCTCTATATAAGAAAAAATCCATTACGTGAATCAGTGGCGTAGCGGGGTCGGGTGTCACCCGGTGCGGCACTTAATGGTGTCACCCCTAGAGACATAGCAGCCCTTCCCGGGGACAAACATTCAATTTTCGATTTGCACCCCCCCCTCCCTCTCAAACTTTCGATTTGCACCCCCCCCCCCCCTCAAACTTTCGATGTGCACCTCTTAAAACATTATTTAACACTCGAATTAATCACTTAATTAAGTGGAATTATCATTTTTCTCTATATATTTTGCTATTTTTTGCCTTGGTGTCACCCCCCTAAATGGTGTCACCCGGTGCGGTCCGCACCCCCCGCACCCCCCCCCCCCCCCTCGCTACGCCTCTGATGTGAATTATCAAAGGCAAATATAATAAGCCCATTTTTAACTCTACACTATAGATTAGGCGGGGTTCTATAATCGTTCCCTAAATCGAATCGGTTACGTCCTCCGGAGCCTCGGCAAGCGAGCGAACTGGTGACACCGGGTTCATTATGCTAATTAACGTTGAAATTAACGTAGTTCAAAAAACAAAATCAAACTAGATTTATTATCCTTCACAAGAATGTATGGTTTGCGGTTTACAAAAATTAATATTACATTACAAATAAACCGGGAGTGATCTCCCCAAAACTTTCTCGAATATTCTTATATAAAAAAATTCATAAAAAACGTTTTAATAACAAGCTTTTATGTAATGATGCACTAAAAAGTAGAAAATAAATTATAGACTACTATTTAAATAACTATAAAGAAAAGCGTGGGTCACTTTAGTATCTATTGGATACCTTTACTAATGTTTAGGAAGACACCCACGCTTTTCTTTATAGTTATTTAAATAGTAGTCTATAATTTATTTTCTACTTTTTAGTGCATCATTACATAAAAGCTTGTTATTAAAACGTTTTTTATGAATTTTTTTTTCAGTACTTTACATGTTTTATTTACAATAGAGTTACATGACTAAAAACCATTGCGCGCCTACTGAACATCACGTTCAGTAGGCGCGCAATGGTTTTTGAACGCAGCCATTACGTGATGGCGCAGCTATTGAAGGTGATGACGCGTGTGGTGTGGTTGGCTAGAGATGCCTACTAATTCGGTCCAAATCTTAATTAATTAATAAAAAATTAATTAGGCATCCAATTAAGTCAAATTTAGTTTCAGATTGCATTGTCTTCATGTCTTGACCCACGTGCCAACTGTGAATCGTATCGGTCAAGTAGAACTGTCCGAATTTTCACTCCTGCGTTTCCGTCTAGACAGACTGACGACAGACTGACGACAGACTGACGAGGAAGTGAGTTAAATAAAAGCTTGTAAAAACAACAGGGGATGGGAACTAGGAATATAGACATGATTTTTAATCCATTTTAAATAGGCCTACTTAAACTTTTTAAAATAGAATAAAATCTCGTGGAAAAAGAATTGCACACCAAGTGAACGCCAAATAAAATGTGCTTAATAGTGCGCAATATTATTAGTAGCCTACTTTATAAATTTACATTAGTTTTTTTTTTGAGAAATCGTAAGTAGCGTAAATTACTACTTCCGGTCAACGGAAATTACTAAAAATTTGACAGAAGGTAGAAAATTAGATCTTTTATTTACAAGTGAAATTGCATTTATCTAACTGAAATAGTACTCAAATTATAGGCTTTTGAAAACTTCAAAGTAGAAAAAGTACCACTTCCGTTTATCGGAAATCGCTCAAAAGTTGATACGGATCTACGATTTTGATAAAATACTTATATATGAAATTTCATCAACCTAGCTGTAACGGTAATCAAGTTATCGTGTGTGTGTGTTTGTGTGTGTGTGTGAGAGAGAGAGAGAGAGAGAGAGAGAGAGAGCGACATTCCGGAAAAGATTTTATAGTTACTTTGTATGATTTTCGTTCCCTAAAACTCGACGTCAATTAAATTCCTCTTAAGTTGCGTTATCCTTTAAAAATTATTAGTAATGTTATAAAAAATAAACCTCATCTAAGTTTAGAGGGAAGTTTGTAGTAGATCTAGGTGCAAATTAGTATAGGCCAGTCTTTTTATGTTTTATCTTTTGACAGTCTCTGATAATATGGTACATAGTTGGATTGTAAGTTTGTTAGAATAAGGTCATGCAAGTGACATACAATAGCAAAGTATAAGAAACATTTATTTTACCATTGGAATACGATATGGGTATTTCGTTTACTGGTTGATTGTATAATGAAACAAGCTAGAGGAAACAAACTGGAATCCAACGGACACAACTGCTCGAAGTCTTAGATTTCCCCAAGAATGTGAAGTCTCTTTTACTGTATGGCTCGGAGCTAGGTTACAGATAGTGGAGAATGAAAAGGTTGTGGCACAATATAAGAAAGACAGTATATACCATCACTAAACAGGTGCTGGTGTAAAGTCCACGGGGAAAGATGAAGAGGGAAGACCAAAAAAGTCATGAAGGAAATTGTTTAAAATAGAGATGGGTGAGGCTGGATCATTAGGCTCATAAAAATCAAGTGAGTTTACGAATAATAAGAAAATCAAGAGTCTGGAGGAGTGGTTTTTAACCTGGGTTCGATCAAACCCAAGAGGTTCGTTGTCAGTCTCGGAGCTTCGAATGATGTCAAGACACCCGACAAATATGATTCACGATCTGATGTTATCAGTGCGGACGATAAAAGGGTATGCTGTATGCGCATAGGAAACTGGTGGGGTTCGGTGGTAAAATAGAAGTAGCAGTCGTCGTGTTGTACCACTTTTACCTTGTTTAGTAGTTTTAGTAGCCTTAACTATACAAAAATTGCAGTATTGGGACTTGTTATGAAACAAGCAATAAAAAAAATGATCTATTTAGTACAATATACTATTTTATTCTCTCTTAAAATTCCGGCAACGAGTATCGCCTTCCACCCACCCGCTCCGACCGTAGGCCCTATATTTTACTGATCGGATAGCCATACAATAATCCTTGATATTTAGTTCTCTTTAATGTAGTGATACAGGCAAGATGTAATGTAAGCGAGTAAAAATATCTGATCTCTCACGTTGAAGTTGAAAGAATTCTTAGAATCGTACAAAAACTAGTTGTGTTATTTCTTAACAAAACTGGCTATTGATATCGTGTCTTACGCGTGAACACAATTGGTGTCTATTCTAAGTGTTGAACGTTTGATCTACTCACCGCTTCGGTGTAAATCCTTCCCATTTACCGTGGGGAAAAATAACCCCCCTTTCACCAACTCTTTCTTATTTTACTGCTACACAATACGCTTTAATACAAATAGTTTCTTTTAGAAGTGTTCAAAGAATTATCTACTCACCGATCCAGTACAAATCCTTGCGATTTTCATTGGCAAAAAAGCATCCCCCCCCCCCTTTCCCCTAACCGTCTTGGACAATTTTGGTAGAGCGGATTTTAACATTATTAACTTTTTTTTTTAATTTTACACAATCGTACAATACGCTTTACAACAATTGGTTTATTTTATAAGGGGTAAACTCGGGCAGATGAGGCTCGTTAGCTGGGGACAGCCACTCTTCTAGGAGAGACAACTCCAAAATTAATCAACTGCTGCCTTGTAGTTTGTTCTTGGTTGGACAAAGGCTATGGAAGCAAATCCAAAAAGAAAAGCAGGCTGAAATTGGAGTCAATGGCCTCAATGGCGCATAACCAGTTGACACGTATCATTAATTGTGATGGAGGCGTGGTCGAGTCGGCTAAAGCTAATGGTTGATAAATTCGAAAAAGTCTCGAGTTCAAACCCTCTGGCAGATAAGGCTCGATCCCCTCCAACACTAAAAATTAAGAACGAAGAAGAAGGGGTAAAGTTTATCAACTCTTTACCCAGTGTAAATCCTTCAAATTTTAGTCCGCAAAAAATGTGATTGTTTATACTTCAAAAATGCAGCTTTAAAAAGCTTTCAATTTTTTTCAACCCCTTTGGAGCCTCTCTTGCGGCACCAGATTTTGTGGCACCAGATTTTGTGGCCAACTTTTGAGGTCTCCGCTTAGAACAACCAGCTCAGTTTTGAGCGCTATTGCTCCATAACACAACGCTAAGCTGGAAAAATAGACCCACTCTGAGAAATGTAAGCAGAAATCTTGAATATGAAGTACGCCAGTTTTTAGTGGGAAAACGCTTTAAAATATTCTAATAAAGGCTGCTCGACTTTATGGTTGCGATACTTATTTAACATTTTATTTTTGTAGCAATCAAATTTTAAAAAAAAACATTAATTGCTTCTTTTAATTTTATTTCAATAAAAATAAAGTAAAGCTTCTCTTTTAGACCTAAAGATCTATAGGGCAGAAGAAGTAGAGTTCATATGTTTCTTGAGCTCGATATATGAATGGATTGTGTTGAGTACTATGCCCAGCCGCCCCCCCCCCCCCCCCCCCCCCATCGTGAGTCTGGTCCCCATCAGAGCTGGTTGACCGAGCGACTGTAGGGACTCAACTCTAGATCTACGGACTAGAAGCCGAACGCTCTACCATTCGTCTTCGCTATCCAACAATTTTTATTTAAATAAGAGATACTAAGTATTGACTTACCTATTTAAAAAAGTTTATTTAAAATTAATAATATAAATACAAAGTGATATAACGAACACAGGGAAAAAAACAATTTCTTAAACATTTGAATGTTGTCCTAAAGTTTGAATCATTTCATAAGTGTAATCCAGATATGCTATGTTGTTACCACATATTCCTGATAGGCATGCATATTGCTATGTTGTTACCACATATTCCTGATAGGCATGCATATTGCTATGTTGTCACCACATATTCCTGATAGGCATGCATATTGCTATGTTGTCACCACATATTCCTGATAGGCATGCATATTGCTATGTTGTCACCACATATTCCTGATAGCATGCATATTGCTATGTTGTCACCACATATTCCTGATAGCATGCATATTGCTATGTTGCTACCACATATTCCTGAGTGATAGACATGCATATTGCTATGTTGTCACCACATATTCCTGATAGGCATGCATATTGCTATGGTGTTACCACATATTCCTGATAGGCATGCATATTGCTATGTTGTTACCACATATTCCTGATAGGCATGCAAGCTTTGAAGTTGCACTATCCGCTGTTTTCGGCGGCCATTAAATGAGTTACAAACACTTTTAAAACTAGAATGATTTTTTTTTCTTTTCTCACACTGGATATAGGCCTACTTTGCAATGAAATGGGTTAAATGACTTCCCCTTTTTAGTCCCTACATAAAAGCTTTTTATCAAAACGTTTTCATATTCTTTTAATGTACAATTATATTAAAAAACAATTATGTTTATTTTGTTTTTAATGCATTTTTAAAAGTGAATCATTATAAAGGTTTTATCCTTGTTTTATAAAAAAAAATTATTTAACTTTATACTTTGATAACAACGTCCGTTTGTTTGTGGGAATTTGGCACATCTTGTAAATCTGCTTTCACTTGGGGGGGGGGGGGGGAGTGATAATCGTCCTTCACAAGCTACTGATAGTGTTTTAAAGCAAATATTTTTAGACCAGTAAGGTGGTTTTGAATTACTAAAAGTAGAAAATAAAACAAAAATTAAAAACAAGTTTCGAATAACAAACTTTTAAATGCAATGAAAGAAAGATAATAAAACGAATTTGTTTTCTTTAATAAAAGCTTTGGTTGGTCATGAGATTACTTATATATTTTACCGAAAAAAACTTCGATGAAAGAAAGCAGAATAGTTTTATTTCTTATTGTCAGTGCAATTAAAAGTGGTACGCTATAAAGGTTTTTTTTTTTTGTTTTATTTCAGTTGTCGAAACTTGCGAGCAAAGTTCTAACCACTTCACGTAAAAAAAAAATTTTTGTTCCAAGAAATAGAATCCTGGCTAGACCAGAGTTTCTTCCAGGCATCTCTTCGGGGTGGCTCAGCACCCCCCCCCCCCCCCCCCCCGTGAAGAAAGTCAACTGCCCCCCCCCCCACCTCCACCCCAACGAAATGAAATTTATATAGAAAATATATAGTTTTAACAGTGTCCGCCCCTGAAATTTTAGTCTACCCCCACCCCTCCCCCGGAGAAAAAACTCTGAAAGAAACACAGAGCTAGACGCCCAGACACTGCTTTTATGAAGCATACAAAAGATACGATGTTCTAATCCCTGTTACGCCTAATATAAAACTTACCTTCGCTTTTTGATGGTAAGGAGATACTCATAGTTTTTCCACTTCGATGCATTTATAATCTCAAGTTCGTTTCTTGTCAAATCTTACGACATTGATATGTTAATTTTGATAGTTATTTATATCTATGTTTACTGATCTTCGTGTAGAGCAAATAAACAAAACAATAATTCTCTGTAAGTTAACTGCCTTTCTATTATTAACTCTCTTAAAGCTGACTTTCTTTTCTAAAATTGGAAGTCATAAAGCGTATAAGGGTTAGGGTTAATATTGAGCTCCGAGCTCAGCTATAAACTCATTACTAAACAAACCTAATGAACAACTTTAACAACGACATCCCTTAAAACAACGCCAGACGACCAAGAACATCGGAACACCGCCATAGTCCCAGAGACGAGAGACTCTGTGTTCCAGTGCTTGATCGAACAGCGGTTTAAATCTCTGGCGGCATCAGTCATGGGATCATGACTCCCACCACCCCATTCCCCCACCACCCCATTCCCCCACCACCCCCCTCCCACCCTTTTCTTCATCCTACCCGTTTAACAAGAGGACTTTCAGGACAACAACTCGCCACCCACAAATACCCGGCTTGACCAAGCCCCGCCCATCCAGTGACGTCACATTCTTCAATGGGCTGCAGCACGTGTCCAGATCAAACAGAGCTCGTGGAGCCGATGTCGTTTGCTGCTGATTGGTTCGTTGACCGAGAGCGGTTGGTGATTGGTCTGCTGAGCTGACGTCTTCTGTCGATGTGATCAATATATGGTGAACTGTAAGCCAATGGTTGAATGAACGGTTTTATCATTAATCCAGTCCATTTTGACCGGTCAGTTGAACTAATTGACTACCAAACAAAGTATAGCCACTACTTGACGAACCAGCCTACAACCCCCCCCCCCCACACACACACACACACACAACCCCCCTCACTCGCCCCTCACCCGCCGCATCTCCTGGTCTCCGCCACTGCGATCAGCTTGACGTTGAACTGGGTTTTTTTTCACGGTTTTATTCAGGTCTTGTCCATATAGGGCTGGTAAATAGGTCAATAAACGGTGCCCTGTCAAAACTGCCCCGTTAATATGACCCCGTCAAATCGACCCTCGACAAAACGAACCAGTCAAAATAGCCCCGTCAAAAGGGCCCCGACTTATTGGCTCCCGTCAAATGGTCTCCCGTTATATTGACTCGCGACATATAGGCTCCCGACAAATGGACTCTAGACATATATGCTCCCGACAAATAGGCTCAGGACATACTGGCTCCCGACAAAGAGGCTCCCGACATATTGGCTCCCGACATAAGGCTCACAACAAATGGGCTCCCGACAAATGGGCTCATGACATATTGGCTACCGACAAATGGGCTACCGACATATTGCTCCCGACAAATGGGCTCCCGACATATTGGCTACCGACAAAATGACTCCCGACATATTGGCTCCAGACAAATGAATGGCATGACCACTATTGGCATAAAAGTAACCATTTTGTCCTACCTCCACTACTACTATAACCTCTTTTCAATGCCTGAATGAAATTGTTTTTCATGAACCAACATCAATTCATAAACAAATCTAGCCCTTAACTGCTAAAATCTACCAATTCTAAAGTTTTGATAATGTTTAATTTACAACAGAAAAGATCTGTTGCATAAATGCGAGCACAGAAGTGAAAATGTACGATATACATGATGTTTACAGGATAATGACATTTTGTTTTGATAACCTACAAGCATATTGGAGGTAGGAAGGTATAGCGTGGACCCTTCTCCCCACACACTGAGTTGGAACAGCCTATCGACTCAATTATGGATGTCATAGATAGATGACCCTTAAATTAAAATATAGGCCTACTATATTTTATAATAGATAAACTAATATAAAATAAGGCTTGCCGAACAAGAGATGCATACGTTGTATTACTTAAGAGTGTTGGATAAGCTAACTCTAAAGAATATTGATGAAGGGGTCCCACTGGCAGGTGTCATATTCAATGAGACCGCTTTGCCGGGAGACTTAGTCTCTACAGAAACGGTATTGTCAGTGGTCCTTTTGTCTAGAGCCAAATTGACAGGAGCCTTTTTGTCGTGAGCCAAAACGACGCTAGCCTATTTGTCGGGAGTCGTAATGACTGGGGCCGTTTTGTGGAAAAAACTAAATGACGGGAGCCTATATGTCGGGATCCAAAATGACGGGAGCCTATTTGTCAGGAGCCTTATTGACTGGAGCCCTTTTGTCGGGAGCCTGTATAATGGGAGCCTATTTGTCGGGAGCCTAAATGACGGGAGCCTATTTATCGAGAGCCTTTATGACGGGGTCCTCGCTGGCCATTTTGACGGGGTCAATATGACGGGGCTCTTATGTCGGGGCCGATTTGTCGGGGTCGTTTTGACGGGGCCGTTTTGTCATTGGCCGTTTTGACGCTGCATGTCATTAAACAGTTCTATGGCTCTTGCAGGTTTTATTGGTTTCAGGTCTTGTCCATATAAGCCCCGCCACTAATGCAAAAAGTGCATGAGTGTACAGCTAAGCACCGCCATGTGTGACCTTGTCACGTCCTAATTTTATTCGTGTACCCATAATAGAAGTAGTTTAATTTGCTCATTGAAAAAACAAGTTAATTAAAAAGTCTAGTGACAATTTAAGCGCAATTTCCTTATGTTATCTAAAAATAGCTCTGACGTATAATGCTGGCGTGCGTTCAAGCTAGGAGAACGATCGGTTTGTAGGTGTTTATGTAATTTTAAAATTTGTGACTGAACGAACGGATATTTTTGAAAACTTTCTTCGGCAATATTGTTCTAAATTATGACAGGAATCGATTGGTAAATGTTTCAAGTCGCTAAGTGGTCTGGTTGCCGAGATATGTGCCAAAAACTGCATTTTTTTGAGGTTTTTTTGCTTTTCCGTGAAATCCAGGAAGGAATTCCGGGAATTGTTTAACCCACTATCATCATCAGAACTTGCTTAACAAATTTGCTTTTGGAACTAGTCCTCGATATTGCTTCGTTGAGGAGGAGATACGACTTAAAGCTGCGAACACACATCCATCCATCCATTCCCAGAAAAGACGAGTTAATAAACGCAATTCTCCAGAATGGAAATTGCGCTAAAAAGAAACGACATTAATACGCACTTTTCCACTACTTTGGACGACCTATTACGAATTTTTCGATGGTTCCAGTTTTGTGGATTTGTAAAATTTTGTGTTGCTCTTCGTTCTAACATTGAGAGCAGCTGTTTCAGTGGCGTAAACAACAGGGGGGAGGGTTAGGGTGAGTTATAACTGAGCTGTTTCCTTGAATTTCTTTTATAGCTGTGGTTTTCATGGCTCTTTTTCTCTGTTACATTTAAGCTGCGTGTTTGCGCAGCAGTTTTGAACCAACCGCGCAGTCATTTTATAAAACACATAATGTGACATATAATTTTTTTAGCGCAATTTCCATTCTGGAGAATTGCGTTTATTAACCCGTCATTTCTGGATGGATGGATGGATGGATGAATGTATGGATGTGTGTCCGCAGCTTTAAGTCGTATCTCCTCCTCAACGAAGCAATATCGATGACTAGTTACAAAAACAATTATGTTAAGCAAGTTACGAGGATGAACATAGGCCATAAAAATTCCGGGTTTCTTTCATGGATTTCCCAGAAAAGCCAAAAAACCTCAAAAAAATTCAGTTTTTTGCCCATATCTCGGCAACCAGACCACTTAGCGACTTGAAACATGTACCAATCGATTCCTGCCATAATTTAGAACAATATTGCCGTAGAAAGTTTTCAAAAATATCCTTTCGTTTGGTCACAAAAAAATTTTTGAATTAATTTAAATTAGGACCGAATTAGTAGGCATTTTATGCAACCACACCACACGCGTCATCACGTTCAATAGCTGTGCCATCACGTTCAATGGCTGCGACATCACGATCGGTAGCTAGGCGCGCAATGGTTTTTAGTCATGTTACTCTATTGTAGATAAAACATGTAAAATACTGAAAAAAAATTAATAAAAAACGTTTTAATAACTAACCAATGGTTTTACTAACCCTGCTCTTGATTTACGCTACGACAGAGCTATTTTTAGTTAACATAAGGAAATTGCGCTAAAATTGTCACTAGACTTTTTTTAATTACTTGTTTTTAGAATACTCGCAAACAAAATACACGCTAAACACTACCTATTCCCCTAAGTGCGGCGTTGCTTCTATCATAATTATCAGCCCAATGCTCTGTACTTTGTCGATTTTGCTAACATTAATTGTTTAGGCTGCTTAGCCCCAAGGGCTCGTCCATAAATGAAGTCTCACTCGCAGGAGGGAGGGGTTCCGTGATGATGTTGAGGGGGGGGGTTCAGATGGTGTGACGTCACTTTTTTGTATGTTAGAAAACGAATTTTAGCCGTTATTTCACGTTTTAGAAAATGGTTTTAATAAACTATAATAGGAATTGATCAAAATACTCTATGCTGACAGAGTTCTGACAGGATTTTGGAAAAATATCTCGATGTTTTAAGAAAAATTCAACAGCAATTTTGAGGGGGGGGGGTTGTAAGCTGAGGTGTGACGTCATTTTAGGGGGGGTCTGGCTTTTTGTGACGACGTGTGACGGAGGGGAAATTGGGGGGGGGGGGGGGGGAATCGTCGAAAAAAAGCGTGACGTCATTTATGGATGACCCCCAAGCTGAAGTACCATATTTTAATGTTGGTCTGTCATTGCAGGTGTAGGTTGTTTTTTTCAGGATGTAATGATTGTCTCCCCAGAGGCGTACCTATCCATTCCGGCGCCTGGGGCGGATGTTCAACTTTGACCCTTTCATTCCATTTCTATCTATAGAGTCCTTGCAAACACGTGACCTAAATCACGTGATACCTACGTCCGCCGCCAAGGTGGTGAACACCGCCAGTAAACAATCAGCTGTTGCTGGACGTGCCTCGCAATGTGTTCATTAAATGTTAAAAGCCTCGGGCCCACAGAACAGAAACAATACGTTAAAAAAACTTTTAGGAATTGAAGATCCTTATATTCGTGTTGACATAAAATGCAGATTATAGATAATTAAAATCTAGATCTAGTTAGGATAAACTCTAGATACTCTAGTTAAGGACAAAATTTAGTAGCAATAGATCTGGTAGATCTACACTACAGTAACAAACGTGAGACCACTTAACCCCTACAAAACCCCTAATAAAATCTCAGCCAACCAGAGATAGCATCTCTTATGTAACTTATTACCCTCAGGGCTCAGCAGGGAAACAAAGGGGAAATCAGTACCACTGATCTGCTTCTAAATTTAACTCAACTCAGTCCAGTATCAGATAGATCTACATATTACTGTAATTAGACACCTAGTAGGTAGGCCTAAGTAATTTACTAAAGCCTTCTACAACAAAAGTATCAACTACTTT